GCTCGCTGTAGATTTGCGGGCCCCGAGCCACTGGCAGAGCTCGCATGCCACCACCAACCTCACAGAAGCAGCAATCCAGCAAGGACAGCGTTGACTCCCACATGAGGCATCGCGGCACGGGAAGAGCAGCTCAATCGGAGCCGCCTTGAGCATTCAGAATGCATGGTCGGTGGTCGCCATTTTAAATCGAGAGCACATGCACGAAGCATAGAGAGGTATGCTGGTCACAGGGCTCGTTGGGCCTGTGCTCCGCCGGTAATCCGGGGAGGACCCTTTCACCAGCGGTGCACCGGTCTCCTTTCGACCCGCAGATTAGCGGGTGGCTGCGAAGAGCGCAGATTCGAAGGAGTGCCGAATCCGTGCAATAGAAGAGAGACCGGAGGCTATTGGAAAGGAGGTAGAGAGAAGCTATGAACCGTGAGTACTGCGATGGCGGAGGCCACCAGGAGCAGAGGAATGATACCACATTTGATGCTAAGGAAAAACACTGGCAAAAGAAAACTTAAAATGTGCTAGATCAGGCCAGAAACTGTGATGACAAATATTCCAGATAATTTCCTCCCTATGTAGAAAACACCCTTGGAAAGTAGCCAAGAAAGTTGTCCAATCATTACAAATAAAAGTGGATAACTTTACAGTGAAGAAAAACAAATTAGCCAGAACATGAAAATTTAAATGTGTAAATAAAATCATGGATATGGTATGACAGATATGATTATATCTTAAATGTTACTTTATAATTCATCCATTCAATCTGGTGTCCTAGCATAAACACTCTAGCAGATAAGGGGGATAAGATGTATTTGTAAATTGTGTCTTACCTATTAGTCAGACCTTCTGTTTTATTTATAGTGGCCCCAAACAATATTAGAAAGTACAAATTTATACTAAAAACATTTAATGTTCCAAGCTACCCTAATAATTTTTAACTCACATGTAATAATCCTGCATATATAAATCAAGAGTAAATTTATTATAGAAAACATTCCTTTCAGAAATACCTGTCCATATTTTATTTAAAAAAACACTGTATGCACATGGCAATGAATAGGAAAAGCATGAAATAAAGTGGAAACTTTCAAATATTTAATAGTACCATTAATATAAACAAACACTATTAAAAATGGTTTGCTTTTTCAAATGCTATTATAAATTAAATATACAAACTAAAAAAAAATCACATTACAGAATGCTATAAATAAGGTTGATGAATTCAAGAGTACCTTTGAATATTTAAAAAAGAAAAAGTTTTAAAAATACTTTCATACTGTTGGCAATAGATTTTACAAAAGCGGACTTTTAAAACTACATTTTCCAGGAGAAAAGATTTGGCCACTTAATGCTCCCATGCAAGTCAAAAGAACATGTGTTAGCTGCCCAGAGCAAATTCCACACATTTTCTGGTGTCGATAACACTGAACCTGCTTTTTCAGTACCTTAAAACTCTTTAAGTGCCTTCTGAGGTGCTTATATGTCCATTTTGCGAAGGCTCATTCTGCTGAAGGAATCTCTGGAGGGTGGAAAAAAACATGAAATGAGCTACTACAACTTAAACAACAGAATCAAGTTTATTTCTTGCCAACTGAATAAAAATCTGTTGCACGAAGTGTTTCTTCTGTAGAACAATTACTCCCAACTAATACAATACAAGTAGCCCTTGATTAAGGATCAAATGTTCAACAACATTTTGAAGTTCCAGTGGCACTGAATAAGTAGTAGTTAGGACCAGTACTTGAAGTGCCAACTGTTTCACCACCTGAGGTCACATGATCACAATCTGGGTTCCTTGCAACTGGCTCACACTTAATGACTATTGCAGTGTCCCACATCATGTGATTCCCATCTTCATCTTCCCACCTTCTCTGCCAGCTTCCACATGCAAAGTCAACTGAGAAGTTGACAGGGAAGGTTGAATGTCTCTCTCATCCTTGTACCCTACCCTAGCCGCTCTATGCTCATGCTGCACCTCCCTGGCTATTCCGACACCCTTGGCACCCTTCCCAAACATACCCTTCTCAAGTGCATGCTGAACTTGCATCCCTTCAACCATCTGCACACTCCCATCTTTCCTCTCCCACCTGGAGGCAGCAACTTATCTCTCTGCTGGTCTGGTCTATTGGTGAGCCACCTGGGACTTGTAACTTCCAGCCAACTTTCTCACTAAGTTTGATTGTTGGATTTCAGCAGGAAGTTGTGAGGAGGTCCTCATTTTGTCAATTTGTAGAATCGCTTACCCTTTACCCAGAATAGATGGGAAAAGTTAGCCAGGCAAAATGTAATAGATAGTCCTACATTTAATAATCATTCGTTCAGTGACTATTCAAAGTCACAACGGAACTGAAAAAAGTAGCTTACAATTGCTCCTCACACTTATGAACTCCACCCTCAAGTCCTCATAGTCATGTGATCAAAATTTGGGTGCTTGGCAACTGGCATATATTTATGTGGTCATGTGATCACCTTTTGTGATCCGAGGTGGCGCAGTGGTTAGGGTGCAGTACTGCAGGCCACTTCAGCTGACTGTTATCTGCAGTTCAGCGGTTCTAATCTCACCGGCTCAGG